AGTTCCAGTGCTTCCAACACTTTCAAAACTTTCAGCACTTGTATCAATTTTAGTTTCATTGTTCATGATTTGCTTCATTAAGTATGCATATCTAAGTATGGAATTTTCGTTGATATTGCTCATCCATTTCTGATTACTTTGTGTATTCAAACACGAGTCACTATAACTTTTACAGGTGATTGTATTATCTTTTTCAATTAAATTATGAATTTGATCAGAAACCATAAAAATATCCCCAGAAACCCATTCTCCAGTAGTTATTTCTTTACTGAGATTAATTTCTTGTTCACCAGTATTAGAATTAACTTTTATGAGATTTGATGATATTTGTAAAGTGACTAAATTAGTAGAATCTTGAGAAATAACCATCTCGAAAGGAGACAAAATTGTCTTAGAGAAAAGGAAACCAAATCTCAAAAATTCCATGTTAGGATTAACATTTTTTGAAATTATCACACTAGAACTCTTACATTTACCATTTAATGCACTTATTGAGCATGAAGTCAGACCAGTGCTTACAACTCCTGTTTTATAACTCCAATTTGGATTCAATTTTTCATTTGTGGATGATACCATTAAAACGGCTTTATATGGAATATTTGCATTTTCTGTTGGAATGGTTGCTATAGAATTATTAGAAGATTTTATATTTAGAGTGTATATTGACGATAACCATGTTAAACTCAAGTCTAAATTCCCACTTTCTGGTAATTTTTCTGGGTATGAAAATCTATCATATTTTTTATTACTTAAATCAATTAGTTTACCGCAGCATTTACTTATTTCCAAACCAATAATATTCCCACCCTTATTATCATTAATGTTTATTTTGATATCGCTTTCTTTAGTTTTATTAATTGGAATAGTGAATGACAACGTTCCACCGCTTTCAACATTTTTTTGGTCTACTGGAATTATATATGTATTATTTGTTACCGTCACTTCTTCGATTTTAGATTCTTCGATTTTAGATTCTTCGATTTTTGATTCTCCTTCCGATTTTGATCCAGTTGTTGTTCCCCCTAAAACTGTAGATGCTCCTGAAGTCGTAGATGTTCCTGAAGTGGTAGATGCTCCTTCAGTTGTGGATGCTCCTAAAGTCGTAGATCCTCCCAAAACTGTGGATCCTCCCGAAGTGGTAGATGCTCCTTCAGTTGTGGATGCTCCTAAAGTCGTAGATCCCCCTACAACTGTGGATGCGCCTAAAGTCGTAGATGCTCCTTCAGTTGTGGATGTTCCTAAAGTCGTAGATCCCCCTACAACTGTGGATCCTCCTGAAGTGGTAGATGTTCCTTCAGTTGTGGGCCCTCCTAAAACTGTAGAACCTCCTAAAGTTGTAGATGTTCCTTCAGTTGTAGATCCTCCTAAAACTGTGGGTCCTCCTAAAGTCGTAGATCCTCCTAAAGTTGTGGATCCTCCTGAAGCGGTAGATGTTCCTTCAGTTGTTGATCCTCCTAAAACTGTGGATCCTCCTAAAGTCGTAGATCCTCCTGAAGTTGTAGATGTTCCTTCAGTTGTTGATCCGCCTAAAGTCGTAGATGTTCCTTCAGTTGTAGATCCTCCTAAAACTGTGGACCCTTCTAAAGTCGTAGATCCTCCTTCAGTTGTAGATCCTCCTAAAATCGTAGATCCTCCTAAAGTCGTAGATCCTCCTAAAGTCGTAGATCCTCCTGAAGTGGTAGATGTTCCTTCAGTTGTGGGCCCTTCTAAAACTGTAGAACCTCCTAAAGTCGTAGATGTTCCTTCAGTTGTAGATCCTCCTAAAACTGTGGATCCTCCTAAAGTCGTAGATCCTCCTGAAGTTGTAGATGTACCTTCAGTTGTTGATCCGCCTAAAGTCGTAGATGTTCCTTCAGTTGTAGATCCTCCTAAAACTGTGGACCCTTCTAAAGTCGTAGATCCTCCTGAAGTTGTAGATGTCCCTTCAGTTGTGGGTCCTCCTAAAATTGTGGATCCTCCTTCAACTGTAAATTCTCCATTCAATTTTGATCCTTCAGTCGTGGGCCCTCCTAAAACTGTAGATCCTCCTAAAATCGCAGATCCTACTTCAACTGTGGGTCCTCCTTCAATTTTGGATTGATTACCAATTTCAAATCCTGTAATTTTAATTCCTTTATCAGAAATATCATAGTTACTAAACGAATCAAATGGAGTTTTTTGACTCTTTGGACTATTGATCGTTTCATTTGATATAATTCCAATATTTGAAACATAACCTATAATAAAAATTTTTAATATAAATAATTTTATTCTAAAATTTATCTGTAATAATAAACTTACCTGAATAACCACTTCTCAAGACCCATTTTTCTTGAAAATTCCCATCATAAATTTGAGTTGCAACTATCATTTCTTTTGCTGGAAGAGGGAAAGCTAAGAGAGGTTTTTGAAGGTCTCTACTCTATAATTTAGGTATTAAAAGATAACTATATTATATTAATTTTGATTTCCCTAACTTACGTCAAAAATAACAGTTTCATTATTTCTAAATTGGAATCCAAAAAGACAATATTCTCTATGTGAAAATGTAATATTTCCTTTATGAAGCAAATAATTATGAATTAAGTAAATTTGTAAAAAATTACTTTTAAATTTAATAACTTACTGCTTCCACAAACAATTGTAGCATATCTTTCAATATCACAATTTAAAGTTCCATTATATGGCACTGAACCTTCCATACACGTGAACCAATAATCGTTGCTTTCAGATCCAAATTTAGATTTTTCAAGATTTAAAATAAAGTTATTTGTAGCTGTTTCATTTAATGTGCTATTTATCATTGAAACTGGCGAATAACATGAATCACCTGATTTTGTGAACTGGCAATTACTGAAATTTGCACCCATTTTATTTGACAAGCTTCTAGAAATCAAAAGTTTTTGAAAATGGAATAGATCTTTTAAATTGTGATTATTTCAAATAAATGGAGTATATACTACAATATTAAACTATGGTGTTTCTTTTTTACAATTTTTTTTTTCTTTTTTTAAATATTAAGTATTATTTTTACGGAAAGTCTCTGCATGCAGTATTTGATGTCTAAATGCAAGTTTCAAAAATAAAATTTTACTAAAAACAAGAAATAATTATGTCTAGAATGGTTTAATTAAATATTTGATTACTAAATTTATAGTTATTCTGACAGATTTACTAAACAAAAAAAATAAACTCTAATAATTATAATGTAATTAACCCTTTAAAATCTCATAGCAATATTTATTATATTCATCCCGATTTAATTTGCGGTATTAGACCTTTTAATATTTCACTAGAAACATTAATTGAAGGTGTCATTCCTTGGGATAGCCTCCAGTATGCAATTGGAACCAGATCTTTACTGCTTGTAATTCTTAACTCAGTTATATCTGAAGAAGAAGGAATAGGAACACCTCCAATAATAACATTATTGTATGAAACAAAAAGATATACAATATCACTCTCAGAATCATCTTCTAAATTACCACTATCTGAAGATGAGTTGATTATATATTCGCTACTTTTTGTTCTGTATTCAGTACCTTTAATGTATGCATAGCGTAGTAGATCTAAATTTTGGTCATACTGCCTCCATTTTTGTGTTGACTGAGTAGCGAAACAGGAGGCTGTAGTGATAAATAAACATTGATAGTTGTTTGAATTGTTTTTTAAAAAATTATATCCAGAGTTGGTCAATAGAAAGATATCGCCTGCAATCCATTGCCCACTTTCTATTGGAGAAGGAATGGTAATTGTATTTGTCTTAGTTTCTGACTTTATTTCAACCATAGCACTAGAAAACTTAATTGATACTAGGGATGATGCAGATGAATAAAGTGTAATAGTTACAGGATATAAGTATTCTGGAGGAGCAGCAAATGCATATCTCAAATATTGTTTTTCAGGAGCAAAGGGTTTATCCAAGGCTAATTTAACTGAACCGCTTTTACATTTATTTCCAGGAGTTGTAATAGTGCATGAGTTAGATATAATATTGTCAAAATTAAAATTAAAATTCCATGTGGTGGAAACTTCATTTTTATTATTATCGGTAAATACTAATGAGTATGGAGAAGGGTTTTCATAGCTAACTATGCCCCCAAGAGGAACTAATGTCGAAGATACAATTAAATAAAGCATTACTTTCGTCCATGCAATTGTCAAATTCAATGAAGTAATAGATTCCCAATTTGAAGGATATTGAAAGGTATCAAAATATCCTGTAACTGCGTTTATAATTTTTGCACAACATCTTTTAAAATCCAATGTTGTTATTGTAATATTGTTTTCATTCAATATTTCAATTTTCATATTAGTTTCTTTTAAGCCATATATGGGAAAAATAAATGATAATTTCCCATTGTCATCAATATCATTTTTATCCCTTGGTATTAAAAATTTACTTCCCGTAAGACTTAAAGGAGCTCTCGTAGTAGTACTTACTGCAGCGGTTGACGTTGTCGTTTCTGTAGTTGTACTTGTTGTTGAAGTCTCAGTTTTTCTTGTGGTAGTAGTGGTAGTAGTGGTAGTAGTAGTGGTTGTGGTTGTTGTTGTTTTATCATCCGCACTACTGCCACCTGAACCCATTTTGTTTTATTTCAATTTAACAATTAATAAATTTCTGTTTTCTAGGTCATAAAACGTACTTTCCTACAAATAATTTATTTAGTTCTATTTGTGTATTGTCTATCTTGTGCGAAAATAGCATTTATATACACAGAAATTACCTTTCTTTTTTATTATAATTAAAAATATTCACATATATATCGATATAATAACTACTATTACAGAATTTATGTAGAAAATAGAAGCAAATTTAAAAAACGAGCAATTTCATATTTTAATTGATATTCATTTAAAGAGAAATCTCGTATTAGAATTTATTTCAATTAATCATTTAATAAATAATTTGACTTTTAAATGCACACATTTTCCCGCGTACGCTTATTAAAAATTTTTTCTTGCAAAAATGTTTAAAAATATCTGGGTTTATATTATAATAACATTAAATGTCTAAGATAGATTACTAAAAAAAATGATATTTTATTTATTTTTTTTTGAACTCACGTTAATATGTCTGCCTTAGTGTGATTTGTTTTCTACCAAGATCTCACATACACCCAAATATCAAGTCTATTCCTACCAGCAGTATTTACCATAACGTATATTATAATCAAGAATCAAACAAATTTATACTTCAAATAGAAATATATAAATAGACAATAAGACAATTGTTTATTATTGGAAATTCACACAATTTCTCACAAATTTGTATACAAATTATAAAGCAATTTTTATTATAAAAATAATTAGTAAGAAAATGTGAGTATTGTAGAATTTGGATGATTTTGTACCACAAAAATAATATTTGTCTTTGCATAGTGTGAAAACTTCAATTTATCAACTAAATGAATTTCATTAATTATCACTTCTTTCAATTTTCTAATTTGTAAGGTATCAAGTAAATTTGTATAAATTCTTTTTTAATTTATTGCAAGAAATATGAATGCCTTTAACTTTTCTAAGCTTGCCTTCATCTTTATAATTTTTGCTTTCTTTGGAAATTTCGAAAACACTGGGAATGAAATTTCTAAAACTACATTCGAGCAATCATTTGTTCGTCTTAAACTGAGAAAAATGTCCAGTAGTGAAAAGAAAAGTTTACAGAATCAAATGAAGATTTTAGAACAAAAAGTTAAAGATGCAAAATTAGCTGGCAATGAAGAAAAAGCTAGTTACTTTCAAGGGAAGATCGATTCTGCAAAGAAAAAACTTGCAGAGTAACTTGATAATAAAAATAATTTGTTCGCTTCAAATAACTTTTATTGAAGTCCTCCAATTTCACAATAATGAATATTTTCAATTTAAATTTTAGAGAAAATAAAGTTATTGAAAAATATTAATTTAGATCTTCTAAGACAGGTTTATAAGTTAAATAATCATTAACTTCAGCTAAACTGTCTTTGCTTAATACAGTTTATTTTTAGCGTTTTGAATTAGATTATTGTTAATTTAAATGTGAATGAGCTAATTACTCCAATAATATTTCTCTCTTAATTTCTCCAGTATGTGAACTTTTGAATCCTGACTTTTTAGTTGTTTGGAATTCTTTAGAATATTTAACTACCGACAATATTTATAAATTGTCCTGCTGTTTTGATTCAGATTTTATTTTTTATCAACTTCACTAGTTATTATAAATGGAAGGTTATACATCAAAACGATATTTATAAATTTCATTAGTGTTATCCTAAGATTCATTTTTTTTTTTTAAATTGATAAGTTGGGCATTAATATCTAGAGATTTTTTTTTTTTTTTAATTTGAAGAATTAATTCAAAAACTTTGATAAATGAACTAAAAGCAAAAAATTAGAATAAAACAGTTGCTTTATAGATACATATTTTTTTATTATTCTATAATAATACTAACTTTTTACTCCTATTCATATTCTTACAATCATGACGAACAGAATTGGGTTTAACAATTTTTCATGCCAATATTTGCTAGAGATGCGGAAAATATATAATAAACCTCCAATAATTTACGAAATATCACAAAATTAATAATAAATACTCGAAATATCCTAAATTGGTTTCGTATATTCCTATGATTAAAAAAATCATTTCATCTTCAAAAAAATATCTCTAGAATAAATATCCTTCAATTTAACAAGTGTTTTTCATTATGATTAATATAATATGTAATATAATTTTGAATTTGTGTAAATCAAATTAGTCAAAATTGACCTGTAAATAATTAAATTTCTATGACCAAAATCAAATTTCAAGAGTACCAGTTATAATTAGAAAGAATTTTATTGTTAAGTTCGGGATATAACCATAATAATTATTACAAAATTATTGATTATCATTCCTTTCATATCTTAGTAAAATATCATTTATTCCAATATAGATGGGATAAAAGTTGGAGTCAACAAGAAAATTTACTTCTGAAAGAGATTTAGTATTAGTTGCCATAGTAGTAGTAGTGGTAGTGGTAGTAGTGGTAGTAGTGGTAGTAGTGGTAGTAGTAGTAGTAGTAGTAGTAATTAATACAGTTTTATCAGTCATTTGTAGATTATCTAATGATGAATTGTAAAATTGATTAAAGGCATTATCTAAACTATTTGGTTGCATCAGAAATTCATTATTTTCATTATTGTTAACTGAATTTAAAAGATTTATAGTGCCAAAGTTGTGTTTCGAGTCAGAAAAAATTCTCAGTCTTTCAAATCTATCCTTAATTAGTTTCTCTAATTCAAAGAAAGATTCGCTAAATAATATCTTTTCACCATGAATCTTGTTGGTTTTTAATTTCAACCCTTTATAAAAATGAACTCCCCTTTTGACATCGTATGTTTCTATATTTTTGGAGTCAATTTGATCGAATTGAAATGTTAGTAAAGGTTTTCTAATATCATATATAATATTAGAAATGAAGAAAATAGGGAAAGCCGCAAAATAAGTATTTTTAATTCCAGCCATATTTGTTTTAATTATAAAAATTAAAAATGACTTTTCTTTGACAGATATATTAATTTCAAATGTATTTTCTGGTTGATCAAAAGTATAATTAGCTAATTTAACCATTTTATCTGAAATCGTACTAACTCCCAAAAACTCTGTTTCCACAATCCACCTTAAGTATTCCCCATCTTTAGATGTGTTGTAATCTTTCGGGATTGCATAGACATTATTTTTCAACAAATCATCAGATTTATACTCAATTTCAGCAGAATCATATTCTTTCAAAATAAAAGTTGCTGGATTTAAATTATAGTCAAAAAATAAGTGTTTTTTCGTCTTACGATCATTAACATAATAGGTTTCATCTGTAAGCCTCACAGTTAGTTCACCATTATTGTTAATAAGTAAAAATGTATCTTTGCAATCAACCTCTAAGCTCATAATTTTTCTATTAATGACGTCAAAAAAATATATTGGAGGGCCAAGACAATTCACTTCTTTAGAATAATCTGGAGTGAAAACATTGTTTTTACCTAGAACTAAGTAGCTTGGTCTTTTATAGTTGTTATTTTTTTTATTTTCGACTCGATTAATGATAGTTTCAGCATTTGCTTCACTATTAATCAGTACAAGTACTATTAAATGAAAAAATAATTCCGAAAAAAATATTGATCTTTTTCTCATTATTTAAGATTATCGCATTAAATCAAATAATTAAATATTCAGTCAAATTATAGTTTTAGTATGCAGATATTTTCTTCAATCCAAAGAATTAAAATTAATTTGTTATTTTAAGACTAGTTAATATTAACTGTTCTTTTAGCGCCACAAATCCTTTTTATAACTATTTTTTAATTAAACTTTTTTTTTTTAAATGTTTTTTGTTTGTTTGATCATTATTTTATCTTAATTTATTCAATACTTATTAACATTTTAATTTGTATTTATCGACAATAATATAATTTAATAACATTATAAAACAACTTGTTTAATATATTATTTATTTCTTTCATCTTAACGTTTTATTTACGGAAATTTTGCTTAAATGTTTATATATTCTATTGTCGTTTAACTAAAAACAATTTATATGTAACTTTTTTGACATTTGCGACAATTCTCTGTAAAATGTTTATTAAACTTCATAAATCTCAAAAAGAAAATCGTATATTTTTATTTATATTTATGATTAATTTTTATTTTATGCAATAGAAACTTATTTTAATCAACTTTTTTTTTCTAAATTGATTAACTGTGTTTGCTCCAAATTATTAATAATGATTTTGAATAACTAAAATTTTTATCAGTAACTTTTTAAATGTACTTTTGTTAATTTATAAAATTTTAATATTTTGAATAATTGATCATTTCATATAACATATTTGGTACTATTTCACACCTAATTTCACTTTTAAGGTTAAAAATAACATTGAATTATACTTTTTATGTATTTCTTTAATATATGTATTTGTTGTATTCAAGTTTGCTTATAGAAAATTATACCCTATGCTTAATAATGAATTATTCCTCAAATTACTAGTATTAATACTCTTTTTTAATAATAAAATCAATAAATATTGTATATATATTAATTAATAACTATCTATATTATCTAATTTTAGTAATAGTTTTTGCAATATAAACATATTTCAATTGCTTTAAACTAACAATATACCTTTATTATTCATGTTATTTACTGCAATTGTAAACAATTAGTATTTAAATTAAATTAGTAAATTCGATATTTTCATAAAAGTGGAAAGTAAAAAAAATAAAGTATATAATCTTATAAAATAACCGAAAAGAAGTTGAATTAGCTTTTATTTTAAATATTGTTTTTATTTTATTGATTTAATTCTCAAAAATAAAATATTTTATCCTTCTATTTGCTGGTTTAATTGTTTGTAAAAAAAAACAAGATTCCCGTTAAATATTTCATTAAATTATTAGTAATTTTCTGTTATACGACAAATCAAATTTATTAAAATTTTCTAATAATTTGATAATTACAATCATTTTAGAAAGCAATTTTCGATGGGAAAAAATATTGAATAAATTCCACATATTCTTATTTAATTATATATTTATTAACATTTAAAAAGTAATTATTTGATATTACAATTTAATCTTATTTTTTAGTGTTGAATGTTCTGCACTGATACTAAGCTATTACCAGCTAAAGAGCTATGATTATCAATAAAATATTGATATTCAATAAAGTGTTTAAAATTTAAAATTTAAATTTATTTTAATTTAAGTATTTAGTAGAATTGGCGTTAAAAAGCTTGAAATCAAAGTATAGCAATTTTTCAAATATATTACTGATATTTGATTATTTATCATAAATAAAATTCAAACTTTATAGATTGATTTAGATATGGAAAAACAATTATAATATAAATTACTAATGAAAAATATTATAAAGTATTAATATAATAGAATGTCTAATTATATTGAGTTAGGAACTGAGTTTAACTCGTTATTATCAATGCGATCTATTTAAAGTATTTTTTTTTAACATCAAAATAGCAAAAATAAATGAATATTTATCTAAAAAAAGTGCATATCAATTGATTATTTATCAATACAATATTTTATTTGGTTTAAATATGATATTGTTATTAGATTTTTATTTAATCTAGCCATCATTGAATAAAACAATTATTTACGATGACGAAACATTTTATAATTAATTTAATTAATTATAAAATATTCGAAGTAACATTCAAATTTATGAATTCATTATTATTCTGGGGATATTAACATGTAATAATTAATTTCAACAAAATAAGTAGTATATTGTTAAATCTTTAAATTGTATAGTTGTGGCTCAAATTTTTATTCCTTTAATACAAATATATTTTGCTTTAATAAATCATATATTAATTACACAAACTATTGTTAACTAAAATCAATTGGGCAGAAGTTTGAGCTCTTAATCAATCAATTTGTAAATAATAGAAATCACGTTTTTATTTATCCTAATAACTATTTCTAATTTAAATTTGAACATTTCATGCAAATATAGAACCTATTGCAATATTTCTAATCTCCGGAAATTCCAGAAAATTTTTCGAATAAAAGATCCCTATATTTTCCAGTTGTTATATGAACAGTCCAAATTTTTTAAAAAATCACATCTAGCTATTAAAAATGTTCCTACAAATTAAATTATAAATTATAATTTGATATTTATTTAATAAGAATTATAGAAATTATCCACTCAATATAAACATAATATCCTTAGAAATACAAATTTTGTGGACGTTCGTTGAATTGGCTCTAAAAATAGTTATTTGCAAAGAAATTAAAGTTGTTTAACTATCTCCGTATTTAATATAATTTAAAAATCAACTAAACGCATATTTACAATATTTCTCAAACCAACAGTAAACCAACATCATCAAATTTACTCAGTTAATATATCAATGACAAGATTGTTTTTTAAAGAAACCAATAAATAAAACTTAACAAAATCAATTCAAAAAGAACATTAGCAGTTAAATTTTTGGTAAATACTAAAAAAATGAATCAGGGGCGCGATACCTTATTAGAAAATAGTCTTAAAATTGATGGGGAGACGTCTCAATAAAATACAAGAATTCAGTTGATCGAATTTTTCAAAAATGTTGAGGTTATTTGGATTTCAACTCGTTATTTCATCTTTACTTTTATTTAGTCTTTATAATCCAAGAGAAACTCTATATCATTCGGGTTTCGATTTAACGGAAGTTTCATTTATTAAAGTAAAAAGCCCATGCTGCAGTGCTTTAAAGCGTATTAGGAATCGTATTTGTTGTTGTTGTTGTTGTTCTTCTTCAAGTTGTAATTCTGATTCAGAAGATGAACAAAGTTCTGGTGAGGATCTTCCCCAGGAGCCAAACCAACCTGTTATACTTTTGAAATCAGAAGCATTCGATCCTGACAATATTCCTCCGAAACCTTCTTACCCAGCCCCAAAACCTCCTATGGGAACGATCGAACAATCACCACCTACTTTCCCGGAGCCGCCGTCACCGGAAGAGCTCGAATCTATGAGATCGCCGACGCCGGATCCAAAATTACTTTCATCACTTCCACAACTACCACCACCACCACCACCGGTTCTACCAAAGCCCAATAAATCGAAAGTGAGGCGTGTTCTTAGGGGACAAAAATGTAACTAATTCAATTGAAAACTCAGTTCCTAATATTTTTAACTGAAATTTACTTTCATAATAGCATATTTTGATATTCTTTCATAATTGAAGATTTTATGGCTAGTACTCATGCGAAGGCTAATTAATGAGGTATAAATTTTGAATTGAATAAAGATGAGTGTACAAAATTATATCTTTAATAGGTAGTATTTTACATGAAGATGTAAAAAGTTAATGTTTTTAATGTAATGTTTTTAGATTGTTTTGCATTCCATAATTTGGGTTTATTATTTAGTTTGATTGCGGTTGGTTTGCATTTAAATAAAAATTTGGTAGTGATAAATTGTCAGTACAATTATTTAATTTGTCTTTGAAATTCTTAATTAAATATCTTTGACGGTTATTATTGAGTTTTGAAGTTCTATTTAACAAATTTTTTAGGTTTTAGGTTTAGGTTTTAGGGTTTTAGGGTT